AAAACATTTGCTGCATTTGTATGATTCATAGTTTATTTGCCAAAGTATTTATTACTATAAATAGGTATATATATATATATATATATATATATATATATATATATATATATATATATATATATATATATATATATATATATATATATATATATATATATATATTGTATTTATTAACTGTATATTATGTGTATTTCATGTAAACTATATCATTTTTAAAATGCAAACCAAACATACGAGGAATAATTATGTTTTCCATGTATTCTGCAACATATTTATTAATCCGTATTATCTAACTAGCGTGACGTCATAAATCTCGCTCAGAGGCTGTTCTATTAGAGACGGCATTGGTCTGATATTTAGAAATGTCAAAAGGTGATGACATTTTACTTTTGACAATTATAACATTTCGTGTTGATTTTTGCAAAAAGAGGAAGAACTGTCACTTGTTTTATTACTTTCCTATTCTATTTCACGAAAGTAAAAAGAGTTACCTATCTGATTCGTTCAGGCACTCAATTTAAAGAATATTAATAAATATTTTGATAGAGGGATTTTATATTTGCCATGTTGGTAAAAAATAACGGTTAAAATTCAAAGTTATTCATTTTATAGACTATACTAACAATTTATAACAAAATTCTTGAATAGGTGCTTAGAGAGAGACTAAATAAATTAAAACTGACTTCTGATACTGAGATCTCATAACTTTTTATAGTGGAAGAATTGTGTTGCGAAACTTGGCATTTTTTACATTCTATGTTTTTAGTGAGATTCGATATTAACAAATAAAATTAGAAAACAAAGAGTAGAAAAAAGTACAATTTCGACTAACATGTGTTAGGTCTAGTATACGATGAAAAAAATGGCGTTAAGCAAGATGGTCCAAAGAGAAGTCGTTCACTTCTTTCACACCTGGAATCCTGCGGGCCCGAAATAGTTCGGAAACACGGCTCAAGTCCCCATAAATGGGGGACGATCTCTACACGGGATTGTCCAAAAATAAAGTTTCCTCCCGTCAGTTCCTAGCCTAAATAAAATATATAATCTACGGGTTTTCTTCAGTTTTCAAAATAAAACTAGTGGCATTAGCGTTTTTTAAAACTTAAATATGGTGATTCACATTATACTAAAATAATTCATATATAATATGAAGAAGAATATGTGATGTAGAATAGACTATAATTGGAAATGGTTACATAAGCTGCAGATGATTATTGTTTACAGCTAGAATTATTCTTTTCAACTTTTTAAATTAAATTCATATCCATAATAGCTATTTATGTTACAAATGAATGTGTTTTGAACAAGGGACGCAAAATTGTCCCTTGCGTCGAGTGCTTAAAACACTTTTTGCGCAACGAATTTCATACAAGATTTTTTGTGAAAGCGGATAATTTGAGATTTTCATGCTATTATTATTATTTATTTTTAAACATTTTTTAAAATGTTCTGGTAATCGGTTTCTAAGGCATTGTTTATGCATTGTTTAATGACAAAGTTCTGTCAGCTTCAAACGTCGCCGTATTTCCTACAAAGTTTTGTGAAAACATGAGTGATAATGTCGAGTCTTTGGATATTCAACAAGCTGCTGAAACTGCGCTATCCCGAGAAGTCGAAAAACTTATACGAGACCACCTACAACAACTTTGAAACCTGGGTCAAAGAAAAACATGTTGAGAATTTCACAGAAAAGGTATTGCTAGCCTATTTCCTGAAGTTATCCACTACCTTAAAGCCGTCAACTCTGTGGAGTTCGATGCTCCCCACCATGATTTACCTGAACAGAAACGTAGATATTAGCAAATTCACAAACCTTATTGCATTTTTAAAAAGAAAAGCTTCCGGATATCAGGCAAAGAAATCAAAAGTATTTAGAAAACTGGAAATAGAACGCTTTAAGAAAGAAGCCGATGACAAAGAATTCCTGTTAGCTAAAGTTGTCTTAATCGTTGGAGTATTTTGAGCATGTAGGAGGGAAGAAATCACGTTTTTGACCGTAGATGCTATTAAATATTGTCAGTCATTTATTAGTGTGAAGATTCCGAATACAAAAACTCACTTTCCAAGAGTGTTTACGATTACTGAGGGACCAATAGATGGTATCAATTTCTTACATGTATTTCGTAAGTACGCAAAACTTTGACCACTCAATGTGACACATCAGCGATTTTTCTTGTCGTATCGAAAAAATCATTGCTGTACCCTGCCAGTTGGAATCAATACAATTGGGGATAAATCAATACAATTGGGGGCCCAAAAAGATAGCGGAATTTCGTGAACTCTCCAACGCCATTGAATACACTCATTGGTCATTGTTTCCGGCGCAGCTCTGCAACAATGCTGGCAGATTCAGGAGCGGACATAACAGTTTTAAAGCGACATGGAGGTTGGCGATCAAGCTCGGTTGTTGAAGGTTACATTGAAAATGCAATTGAACAGAAAACCGAAATAGCAAAAAGAATCATGGGACAGAAAGATACGCCAAGTAAGAAATTAAAAGCAGTTCACGTACAAGCAGAAGCTACTAGCATTGCCAGTACAAGAAATTTACTTATTCCGACTCCTACAACTTGCATTTCTCTTAGAGACGAAAAGCTGGATGTCTCTTGTATTCACTTTAATAATTTAAATAATTGTAACTCATCCAAACCAAACCAAACCAAACCAAACCTTTAAGATTTATAATAAATAAATATTGTCATTGTTTCTAACGTTTTATTTTTACTTTTAGTGTCACTTTTAGATACTAGAGCCTAAAAGAATGTAATTTCGAATCTCAAATAAATATCAAAAACTGTCAATTTCGAAACGCTTTCTCAAAAAATTATTATTAACATCGAAAAGTGATAAAAATAAAGAGGGGATGCTCTCCCAAAAATGGTGGATGGTAAAAGAAAATGGGAGCTATAATTAGATTCAAGGAGTCATTTTACATAAGAATCAGCAGGAATGGAGCCAGAGCTCAAAAAATAAATATTTTTTGCAGACCGATGTAATGTTCCTAGTTGCTAGGTTGCTAGGTGTAATCAGGTACGAAACTCTAAAGCTTCATTCAGAACCTCGTAATTAGTAGAATAAATTAGTGGTTTACGATCATTCACGGTCTCTAAAAAACACAATAAAAATTAATATAATATCCTAGCAACAGTTTACGGTAATCAGTTGTATCCATAGAGAAATGCTAATATTTAACTTATAAAACAATAAACTTTTGATTTCTAACCACATTTTCTCTTGACGGATGATATAATCAAAGACGAAAATGACATACTTTGAAGTATAATTGAAGAGTGGAAATACCATGCCATAGACAAAGAAATAAAAAGAGACTGGCAAATTAAATGGCAAAGAGAGGGACAACGTTCCCGTAGCGCAACTCAGAACGCAAAATTTCGTTCAATTTATGTTGATCTGCGCATTGCGTCTATTGGGCCCACTATCTCATTCTAATATAACAAGAGAGAAAGAAGCAGTCATATAAAACGTAATTTCTAAATAGAAATTAGAACAATCGCCTTTCGTTTTCGTCATCATGACTTTCGTTAGTATCATCATCATAGAGAAATGTAAAAAAAAGAGAGTGTTTAATTCAATGCAAACAGCTGGCATTAAGTTTACAGCGCCGCTATTGACTACGGACAGCAACTAAAAGAGTAAACGGTTGAAATACAGGTTTCTTTTTTATCAACAGTGCTAAGGCGGCCTTTTTAAATGAATCTGTAAATGGATTTTTATTTAATTTGTTAAAAATAGAGTTTTGTAAATGTTCAGAACAGTTGCAAAGCAGTAAAATCGTTTAAAAAACTGCTAATACTTTCAGAGCAACTTTTTTGAACGTTTACAGAACTGTATTTTTAACAGATCCAAATTAAGATTTAATTCTTTATGGAGTTTAATTAAACAATTAATTAAAAAATATAAATATTTATTGACTTATTTTGATTGTCAAAATATAATTACATTTTGGTAAACTTTTTTAACAAACATAAACAAAAATAGATCTCTAAATATAATGAATATTGTACAGGGTGATTCATGATATTTTAACCAACGGCTAACTTTCTTAATAGTGATCGTAGAAAAAAGTTTAAAAGAGTAAAGTTGAAGTAAATTTAGTACTGATTAAGAATATGTATTGAAAAATAAGCAAAAATTACCAAAATCTATTTTTTTGTTAAAAATTAATTTTTTTTAAATGAAACACCCGTATATTACTAATTAAAATTAAAGATTTTATTGTTCTGATTTACCATACAAATTGATATTTGGTTCAGCCGTTTTAGCGCTATTTAGGTTTAAAGTTTTATTTTTCGCATTACCATGCCGCACTGCTTTAAAAAAACTTGTTTTTATTATTAACTGGTATTTTGGGAATCAGAATAATAAAATCTTTAATTATAACTAATAATATACAGGTTGTTCCATTTAAAAAATTGAATTTTTGAGAAAAAAATGGATTTAGGCAATTTTTGCTTATTTTTTAAATTAGATTCTTAATCAATACTAAATTTACTTCAACTTTGCTCATTTAAACTTTTTTCTACGATCAATATTAAAAAAGTTAGCCATTGGCTAAAATAAGATGAATCATCATATACTTTAATGAACAGTTAAATCACAATATTCTAGTAAACAAAAACTTTTTGTAACACATAACATAGGTTTAAATAGAAACCAAAACCTTTGACTAATGAACTAGGATACTAACGACAAAATAAAGTTTTATTTAAAGAATGTATCTTGGTCCATTAAACAACAGAACTAAAAACTAAGTACGTATATCACAACATTACATAAAAATGAAAAACTTAGGAACACGAACTTGTGAATAATGAGCTATGTCGTTAACGACAAACTAACTTAATCTTGAAATTAAACAACAGAACTAAGGTAGGTAGTATATCACAACATTTTATAAAAATGAAAAACTTTCTAAACAAGAGCATTTGAATAATGAACCAGAGAGGTCATTGACGATCAAATTACATTTTATTTAAAGAATGTATCTTGGTCCATTAAACAACAGAACTAAAAACTAAGTACGTATATCACAACATTACATAAAAATGAAAAACTTAGGAACACGAACTTGTGAATAATGAGCCATGTCGTTAACGACAAATTAACTTAATCTTAAAATTAAACAACAGAACTAAGGTAGGTAGTGTATCACAACATTTTATAAAAATGATAAACTTTCTAAACAAGAGCCTTTGAATAATGAACTAGAGAGATCATTGACGACCAAATTACATTTTATTTAAAGAATGTATCTTGGTCCATTAAACAACAGAACTCAAAACTAAATCAGGACAAAAGTCTATATATGCATAGACAATATTAAAAAAAATAATAAAAAAGGTACGTAACTATACTATAAAACAAATCACAACCAAGATCACAATCTGAATTTATTTAGGATAAATGTTTAATTTTTTTAATTTTTTTTTGGTCATATTTCTTATTAGTGGAATTATTGCGCTGAAGATTTCTGTGTACGTCATCATAATATTTTCTAATTATTAGCGGTATTGAAACGTCTAAAAATTCATTTTTAATTGCATCTAAATGTTCAATGCAAGTAAACCAATCAAAAGGAATATTGTTTTTTGTATACAGTTTAATTTTTTTTGTAACATGATTTATGTATCCATATTTTGGTAGGATATAAAAAATAATCTCATGGAGTCTCATTAATATATATGTCACCTCTTTGGTCACATAGGTCAGTCTTTTCTTTGAGTCCGTAAATTCTTTAAACATCGTAAATGTGTGCTGTGGCTCAGTGTTCTTGCTAATTAAGTTTCCAAAACATTACTCACATTGTAGTTTCGTTTTAAATTTTTTTATTAAAAAGCCTGCAACATATGCAGCTGTATTTGACTCTTGTTCATTAAATTGGATGTCTAAACCAGGTATTTTTATCGTATCCAGTTCATTAACTTCAAATAATGGTAAAGGTATTGTGTTATTTGTGTCACTTTGTAAAAAATCTTGTAGATTGTCCAAAATGCCGGCTTCATCCTTTTCACAATTTCGGTTACATGTAGGGGTAATTAAATTATTTAATATTGAGGTTTTGAAACACGATATCAGTTGATATGGGTTAGGAGTTGTGTTTTGAGCACCAAGGTTTCGAATTGAAGCGAATAAATTTTCTAATGGGTCTTGATTAAGCGACCTTGTACGCAAAAATTTAAAACCAAGTTCCCGACATATCTCCCACAACTGACAGGTCGCATCTATAGTGGTGAGCCAACCTGATTTAAATGGCATTTTGGATTTCCTTTTGCCATCAGAAACAGAAATAAACTCCCAACTTCTTATTTTTGGTTTAAGGTTGTTCCAAAGAGCCCTGTGTGGAGATTTATTCGATAAACACCTCCGATAGGGCTTACCCATTTCTGGTTGGGGCGTTCGCCCGTTAAAGCTATCAAATAGTCTGTCCATGTCGTGTACAAATTCAGCCGTATTAATGGCATCAACTGGCAAATTATTGCAAGGGTTACTAACCATTTGTTCAATGCAAGCAGCAACGGTGTGACTTAAAGTTCTTGCTGCTATACACACCTTCATTTTAAGGCGATTTTGATTTTTTAATGTAAGATAACATTCCCTGATTTTCCGTAAGGCTTGAAATCTTTTTGTCTTATCTATGTAAAAGCATTGTTTAATGTGATCCATTTTAGCAAATTTTGTGTTAGAGTATTTTATGATATATTTTAAAAGGGCATTACGAGTTGACTTTATAAGGTGTGGTGGGTCAAAGAGTGTAAATATTTTATGGTCATTTAAAACAAAATATGGTTCTGGCCTGTTACTATTTTCCCGACACAATTGGGTAATTGCACAACGATTGGTGGCCCCTTGGTCACAAACTGTGGTTAATATATAAAGATTAGCTTTCTCTAATTCTATTATTATTTCTTTTATAAGTGTTTTAAGTTGTTCAGTTTTAATTGTATCTCTTGTAAAAAAATAGGCTATTGGTTGCTTCCATGATTTATGAAGTCCATGAACCATGAAAATTAATGCATGGTTGGCATGTAAATTTTGACGTCCTAGAGGACCAAGATAGCCAACCACTTTATCATTTGCAACATCTAATGTGAGTTGTTCTGACAAGGATATTTCGTCGAACATTAAAATGCAGTATCGATCAATGGGCTTCATTTTGTTTACTCTATTTGATAGCTTTAGCATGAGGTGGGCGTTTATTCCTGCTTCAAATGGCACATCTTTTAAAAGTTTTTTCAAAGTACTCTTGGATGGAAGTGCCAAACTTCTTTTTAAAAAGTTGTAACATTGGGACCCCTCTTGTACAAAGCCAACGCATACACTTTATCAATTTTTTTCCAAGTTCGTTTTTTTTTAATGTTTGTAAAAGAGCTTTGAAAAAATGACAAAGTTGCCGGATCAAGGTTGTTTTCAAGATCTTTAAAAACAGCTGTATTTGAAATTTCATAAGCTTTTTTTAGTTTTTGTTTTGACTTGAATAAATCTTTCTTTATTTTGCAAATAGTACTTCTTTGACTTTTATTTTCAAAATATAATTTGTTTTTTCTAGGTGATAAGTTATGTACACGAGTCTCATTTATCTTTGATAGAATAGGAAAATGTTTTTTTCGCGGTGGTAGGTTAGGAGTTGAATTTAAGGGTCTTTTTCTTAAGTAATTTATTGGTAAAGGGCTATTTTCATTGCTAATCGATTTTTCTTCGAGAATAATTTCTGAAATATCCACATTTTTAGTTGCTAACCCTGTAGATGTTGTAGGTTTTTGAGAATCACGAGGAGGTACTACTTGAATATCTTGAATAATAATTATTTTCTGATTATTAAATGGCAAGGCATATTTTGATAATCTAGTTCTAGTAGAATCAGAAAAAAACTTTTCTTCAAAATGTTCTTCACATAAATAGCACCTTTTATCAGAATAATTTAATCCCATGATTTGAAACCACTTTCTACGTCTAATATTATCTTTATCAGGAAATCTAAAAAACCTTTTATTTTTATAATTTTCATCGGTAATAGAGTGAAAGTACTTGTTTAAACACCTTGAAGCCGCACATTGATAGGATAAAATACCTGGTTTAGACATTTTTAGGTTTAAATATTAGTACACATTGACTATGTTTACTAAACTACGTATTAACCTACCTAAATTTAAAAACCTACATAATTACCTAACTATTGTTAAAATTAGTATCACAGCTAAGAAAACTGGATGGATGGACCGACTTTTTCCCCAGAGGAATTTTCCATCAGCTCGTCCATCAGTGTAGCTTTGGCTCACTTTTGGTGTTCTTGAAAGTAGTATGTAGTATGTACTAATTAAAGTTGTTTAGGGCTGAATACCTTGGCCTTGAAAGGTAACAAAGCCTTCTAAGCAGGGAATGCAGGCCTATTGATTGCCTATTATTGCCTAAAAACAATCTGACCTCTATATTAAATTGTTTGAATAAATTTTGTCTTCCCTACCATTTTATTGCATATTCTCTACCTCTCAAAGACATTTTCATTGTCTGGTTCACAAGTCTGGTCACACATTGTCTGGTCACACATTAAACACAAGAAAACTAAAAATTGGGATATCCTTTTCTTTACTCAAATGTCGCTAGGTAATGTTTGTTATGATGTGCCGATTGCCCAGATGAAGTTTTTGAAAATTGGATGACACTGATGACAGTAATTAGTTCAATAATCTGCCACCATGCGCTATGCGCTACGGATTGCGCACAAACGTTATGCAAGCATATCACATTCAAAAAAACACTCTCTTAATTTTTACCTTTCTCTATGATCATCATGACTACCAAGATGACAACAGCATGACAATTCGTCATGATGGTTTGTTAATTTTTCTTTTGGTGATTTGCCTTTTTTTCTAAACTCTCCATTTTATTGACTTATGAATATGGATAGGGAACAAATTCCTTTGTTCCATATAGGTATTTATATTTTGTTACTTATAATTTTAGGTTATACTATTTCTTATTTTATTTGCTGCAGGAGCGTATCATCTATTTTCTATATGTATTGGTGCCCCCTTTTTCTGATAGATATGTTAAAGACACCCGGTAAAATAAAAGTAAGTAGTTATATTTATCATCTTATTAAGAAAAAAGTAGAAGTATAGTAGTGTCAAAAATATTTCGAACCTCTCTTAACATAACAAATTAATACAATTAATTTTTTTAATTTTTTGGGTAGGTAGTTTATAGCTGGTTTATAGCAACCAGAAACTTTATTAATATACCTATTTTACTTTTGTTTTAGGATTAAAACGGGACTTGAAAATGGTTCAGGATCATGATTCTCGTAAAGTCTTCTTTGCTTGGATATTCACTTTGTTATTGCAATTAGGCAGTTTTTTCGAAAATGATATTTTTAATGCCTTTTAAAAAAATTGGCCGATCGTTTCCTGCAACAGTCAGTTGTTCTGCAGTTAAAATTGGTAGGTGGGTGGAATAAATACTGTTATTTTTGTTATTATATTACAAAAAGTTTATTTATTTTTATGTATAAATAAATATGTTTATAAAACAGTACAATTTTTGCTTTTTTTATAATTTCCCTTATAATAGTAGTATTCTTTCGCTCTAAAAGAAACTGCCAAATTTTCACTTAAACTGATTTATTCCCTACACCACGTTCCCTTTACGTGGTATAGGGAATAAATCAGTTTAAATGAAAATTTTCAGTTTCAGAATGAAAGAATACTACTAATAATGGCTAATTTAAATTTTCCGCCAGCCAGAATGTGCGATAATGTCTTACGATACGTTTTATACCTCTCTCTTTCTTTTTCATATAAAGCACACATAATACAGAAAGATAGATAAAGACGTACGTCCTGCTAATTGGTTTCAAAATTGTTATTCTGAGTTGCGCTACGGGAACGCGGTCCCACTCTTTACCATGAGATTTGTCAGTCTCTTTTTATTTGTTTGTCTATGGTAAATACCAAAGGGGGTAAGTGCCAAAATTATTTTTTCGAGATAAATGAGTAAAACACAGTTGAACTGAATATAATACATTTTTAAAATATATTTTAAAATACATATAATATACATAAAAAATAGACGCTTTTGCTTGGCACTATGTTTTTAACTTTTATTAGGACATGCAGCATGGTATTTATTACGTTTCTAATACAATAACTTAATATTGAAAAATTTGTCAGTTACCCCCTTTGGTATTTCCACTCTTCAATTAGTGGAAAACTTAAAAGTTTGCTAACTTTTTCCATTAATTTAAAATTCCTACCACTAATTTTAACGTTCTGAATGCTTACACTCGAATTAGAGGAATAAACTTCTACGCTAATTGAAACCACCAATTTTTTCCACTAATTGAGAGGTTCTGAATGGAGCTAAATTTACAATAAAAGAGGTTGATAAATTAAAAGAACTGTATTAATAGGAACGAAAACTTAAATTTTTGTTTATAATTACTGTGTGCAACTTTTAATTATTTTAACATCACCTCGTATGAACATTAAACTCATCCAGATGGTTCCTCCTGACGATAGGAGGTCCGTACGGAGCGGCAATTTTTTTCGCCCAAATTTCACTTGAAATACGAGCACGAGTACCGACACACACACACACATACACGTAGGTGCGCAAGTATCCAGGAACGGAAATGGCAGGAAAGAGTTACATGTGGCGGCCTGTTTTTCTTATAGAGGTGCCTGCTTTTTTCATCCTCTATCGCAGGAAGTGTGTACTACAGGTTGGATTTAGTTGGTATATAGTGAAACAATTAGGCAGTTATACAGGGAGGCACAACTACTACTTTAAGCCATAAAAGTAGTTATTGCTTACTACTGGATGTTTCCAAATTCATTATTTTCGTTCAGTTAATGCAATGCAATTTAATACCTAATAAATACTTAATATAATTACACTTAAATACATACACTAAAATAGAACAAAAAATGATTAGCGACTCTTAAATGTTTCTTTGAATATGGCAGACAATGATTTAGTAAAAGAACTTCGGATTTCCATTTTCTTTATTTATTCTTTATTTTTTTCAAGTCTAAATTAATCCAAATCTTAAAGCTACTAAGCTTATACAGGGTGTTTTAAAAAACATGTGTCATCTCTCGTGGGGAGATTCCTCACGTAAAAATAAGATTTATTTTTCATATCAACAACATACAGTTTGACCAGCGGATCTGAAGCTACGGAAGGAATGCGAGAAAAAAAAATCGATATTGCCACGTTTATCTATAAAATTGCAAAATTGCCAGACATGAACTATAAATTTAATATATTTTTATTATATATAATGTGTTTAGCATATATTCTGACGTATATTACTAAGGAATTTTAACGTAGTTCATATTGTTGGATATGTTTTATTTAATAACTTATTTCTTTCATTCTGTATAATCTGCTTATTACGAAAGGTTAAGATATTTCAACGATATCATTGGCAAACCGGCATCGCCGCGCATGGCCGCCTATTCATCGAACATGATTGGCGAGAGTACGTCACAGGATTTGTTACCACGTGGTTGCTATGGCTTTTACGCCTTTCCTATTCGCTAGCCTTATCCCCAACTTCACGGTCACTTCTGAAAAGAGTAGAAATATTGAATACTATTGAAATATCCAGTGGCGGTGTCATTCTTTTGATCATTATTACTTTCTTTCATTATTTTATACCGGTTATCCTAAACTTTATTCCTATATTTTTCGTATATTTAATAGTTAAAATGTGTTTTATTGTTTTGTTATCTTGTTATAATGTTTTTCGTTCGTAGTTTTTAATTATTAATATTAAGTTTGATCGTATATTTGTGTTTTAAAATGAATAAATTTGTTAAGGGTAAGACGCTACATAGCCAGGACAAGAGAAATAATAGCTAATTTATATAGGTAAGTAGAATAATAATAATGTAATTATTAGAATACTAAAATTAAATATTTGCTAAAATGAAAAGCACCCATTTTACCTAAATATTTTAGCTAAACTAAAATAAATGTAAATAAACGTTGATAAAATCTCATTTGGTTTATTTCCTTGTGTTCATAACAGGGTTTG